GTTGGATTTACAGTTTTGGAATTCTCTCTTCATACCTTCTTGCTTTCACATGAGAAAGATTTTTCCTTTTTTCTTACTGGTAGATGAGAGATAATTATGCATCACTGATCTGATCAGTTTCTCCAAACACGGTTTATAATGGTTTTGTACATCTTTTTTGATTTGTAGTCATTACAGGGTGGCAGTAACTGTCATATAACTACCTTCTACCTAGTGTTTGCAGAACTGAATGAGACTTCATCTCATGGAAGCAGGCCCATGACATCCATCCTTGGATTGGAAACAATGCACTTGAGAACACCCAACAAGGGAAATATATTCTACAAAATTGTTGACTATTACCTCAGAATCTAACATGAACATAATCGCATCAACCAGCCTTGGAAGTGAGAACTCATCAACCGGGATAGGGGCAGGACCTACTCCTCTAGCATGCACTTGTTCTCCCCAGAAAGGTTGGTCTCCGAAGAAAGGGACAATAGTTGTTGGACACTGGATATATGTAAAAAATGTGTTATTAGCCAGTAGAACAAACATTGAATAGAAACCAAGACAAGAAAACATGTGATCACAGATACCGCAGCTTTAAGGCCAGCAGCTGTTGTTCCGGCACCCCCATGATGTACCTGGAAACAAAGTTGAAAATGAATGCCACTTCTAGATTAATACTGAGAGATAAGTTAGAAAAATAGAATTAAAGTAAAAATGCAAATTGAAAACAATCAATGTCAGAAATAATTAATTTGAGCTGAGGCTGAAGCCTATAAATTTCTTTTAATAATGTAGTTCTAGAATGCTGAAAACATCATAAACATCACCGGAAGGATCTATGCATACAAGTACTTTTAGAAAATACTCATTCACCACTCACTCTCACATTAAGAATTTATTCAGAAAAGCCACTGACCTTTGTTACACATTATTTACAGTTCCATGGAACCATTTGATTTTTTTTTTTTTTGTTCAATTGCTGGTTTTCTTTGTATGTAGTTTTTTTCCTGATTGGTAGCTGGGAATTTTTTGCTCAGTGAGTACAAATACAAATATGTATGGTGCAAATACAAAGTTTAGAAATACAGTATAAAAGGTTTTGTACTGTACAGATTTGTATTTGACTCTTCCCAAACTGAGCCTTTACAATATTAGGAATGATGTAATATTTAGTGTATGCTGCAAGGGGCATTTTGGTCTTTTTCTTCCTCTTTTAAGTTGTACGTTCGCCCTAGCATATATGATAAAAATACTGGTGCTGCCAGTATGAGTTTGAGTCTTCTCTCTTCTCCCTTCTCTTCTCCTCCTCTCCTCGCCGCCCTCTGCTCTATTGATTGCAACATGGTATCAGAGCAGGACAGTGCTCTATAAATCATCTCCTGCAAGTCGAAACTCTTTCCTGTTCCTCTGGACTGCGAAGTGGAAGAGACACATGAACTCCATTTGAAGACTGTTCGTTCTTGCCTGTTTTCTTGGACTGCAACTGATTCATACGATACCCAGAGGCCAGTGGATGACTGACCGAATCTCCCTAAGAGATCATTTTTTTTTCTTCCTGTGTTTTTTGTTGTTCCTGGGCTAGAAACTACAGAGACCCTGGACTGAATACGAACAGAAGCTTTCACCACCTTTTTTTTAGTTCTTGGTGTTGAAACCAAGAACTGATTAAGTTATTGTGCTTGACCGAATGATATAAAGGGAGTTCATCCCTCTTCGTGGGTGTGAAGACCCAATAATCTTCATGTTTGAAGAATCTGGTAGGTCATAAGTGACCTGGTTCGATTGATAGAAGGCAGCAGCCTCTTTAAATGATTTCTGTAGTTCGTATTGCATTAAGAAGATACCTCTCAGGTCTGTGAAAATCCGAGACAGAAAGAACTGTGCTCTGTTTTGAGCAGTTTTTTTGTATTTGCCTAGTTGGGTAAGGACTGTAATCAGTTTGTGTCTGCTGCCTTCACTTGGTTCAAATGAATTCTGAAGAGTCTGCAACTTCAGAAGCTACCTCACATCAAGGAGGGATGTCTGGTGGTTATGAGACCCTGCACTTTCCTATGACCATTACTCCCTTGGACGGCAGAAACTATTGAGCTTGGTCCAAGGAGATGCGACTGTACATCACTGTCAGGGGTAAGACTGGATATATAACTGGGAAGACAAAGGAACCTAAAGCTGGTACTGCTGAGTATGATAAGTGGGACCAGGAAAATTGCATGATAATGTTTTGGCTCTTGACCTCAATGCTGCCTTCTGTCAAGCAAAATTTCATGTGGGCTGAGACAGCAAAAGAAATTTGGGATCAAGCCAAGGCAACATACTCAGAACAGAGACACTTTACACGGATTTATCAGCTGCAGGCTGAATCATCAACATGCAAGCAAGGTGAGAGGAGTTTATCAGCCTACTACTCTGCTCTCACATCTGTCTGGAAGGAATTAGACTACTACCAAACCATTGAATGGGAGAGTGAGAAAGATGCCTAGGCCTACAAACAGTTGGTCTTCCAACAACGGGTGTTTGCTTTCCTTCTTGGCCTTAGCCCCATGTATTAGCCTATCTGGGTACAGATTTTGGGCAGCAAGGATCTCCCGTCTGTCTAAGAGGTGTATGCTTTAGTTCAGTCTGAGGAGAGTAGGAGGTCTGCTATGAATCCTCCTGAGGGGGAGACCATAGCTTTAGCTGTAAGAAGTAACACCAATTCAGCTAGGAAGGGGGAAAATCAGAAAAAGGTGGATGATAAGGATAAATTGTGGTGCACTCACTGCCAAAAGTCTAGACACACCTGTGAGACATGTTGGAAACTGCATGGAAAACCGAAATGGGCACATGAACTCAACAAGAAATCAGCAACAGAACAGAACAAGAAGCCAACTCAAAAGAAGTTCACCTCTGCCAATCTTTCCTCACATGAGTCTCCGGATTGTCCCTTTAGTTCTGATCCCAAGGAAGATATTATCAGCTCCTTCTATGACCATTTGGAGCAGTATGGTAGGGCCATCAGACAAACAAATTCTAGACCTGCACCTTCCACCTCATTTGCTTCTTCCTCATGTAACTTAACCTCTGCTTTTCATGTGACTACTGATCCCCCGGAGTCTCCGTGGATTGTTGACTCTGGTGCCTCCAACCATATGGCTGGTAAGTCAACTTTGTTGCAATCATATACCCTTCTATTTGGAAAAGATAAAGTGAGGCTTGCTGATGGATCCTTCTCCTCCATTGCTGGTCGAGGATCTATATTTTTACCTTTTGATCTCTCTCCTACCCGGGGTAAACTTGATCCTAAGGCAGTTATGTGTGTTTTTCTTGGATATCCCCTTTCTCAAAAGGGTTATCGTTGTTTTGATCCAGTCTCAAGAAAATATTGTCTCTATGGACGCATTCCTCGGATCAAAATATTGTTTTGATCCAGTCTCAACGTGTTATGGACGCATTCCTTGGAAAGACGTACCATCGCCGTTGGCAGCAACAGGAACCTGACCCACCGCCAGATTAGATTAGATCATCTTGCTTGTTCTTATCTTATTCTATTGCTCTTATCTTATCTTGTTAGTAAGTTATCAGATTAGGATTAGTTTATCTTATTATCAGATTAGGAT